TTTTTTTTTTTTTTTTTTTTTTTTTATACAGACTTAAAACAGTGGTGCTGATCTGTGTTCTGTGTGCCTACCCGACCACCTTCAGGTTTTCCAAGCGGTCATTGTATCTAGTCAAGCTGGTGTCTGACCCGATTCGACAGATTGGTCGTATAGTGCACCCCAAAGAAAACCGAATGTTGGCAGAATGCCCCAGGCTGTTAGCCTGTGCAGTGTGGGTGGGATTGGCAGGACGGAAGAAAGGAGGGGAGGGGGGGGGGAGGGAGATGGAGAGGGGGGTGTTGGTCAAAGGTTTGTCCAATGTGTAGTTGTAAGCGTTATAATGGGTAGTTGTACAAACTGTTAAGGGTTGCCTTGCTTGGCCGTGAAATGATTCGATGGATCTGACCAGAGATCAGAACGTATGAGCATCTGCTTTTCGATAACTTTTGTTAGTTCGCCGCCTCCTCTCTCCCTCCCCCCTCCCTTTCCCCCCAAGCCTCCCAAGCCTCCCTCCCAAGCCTCCCTCCCAAGCCTCCCTCCCAAGCCGCCTTCCTTCCACCTTTTTTTTGGTGCATTTGCTGTTATATGTTGGCTTGTTCAGGGCTTGCTTTGTCCATTGATATGGTGTTTGGTCATAAAAATGCAGGGCAGGGCAGTGACCACTGTCATGAAAAGGTAAACTAACACACCCTCAATGAGATGTTACCTCCCCTCTGCTCACACACTCTTTCTTTTATTCCTCTTTCCGTGTAGCACTATCTGTGAATGTTCTGCTGAACTCTGTGTGTGTGTGTGTGTGTGTGTGTGTGTGCGCACTCATGCGTGTGTACGCGGATACGCACATACATGTGTGCGCTCATGCTGGTGTATGTATGTAGGCTGGTGTATTTCTGATGCAGATACTAACTGAGTCGTCTCGCATATGCCATTTTGTATGTTTATGGCCATTCCCTCAGGATGGTGATCGCTTCTGGAAGATGCCGCAGTGCTACATTCGAGGCAACACCATCAAGTATTTGCGTGTGCCAGAGGAGGTAGGCGGCATGAATGTGTTAAGTTTCCTGGAAGGGTGCAAAACCAACTGGGCATTGACTACAATCGTGTAAATAAGCTCTGGGGTCCTTTGGTCCACGAGGAGGTTGAGATTTATCTCTGCGTCTCTGTCTGCCTTGGTTTGTGTGTGTGTGTGTGTGTGTGTGTGTGTGTGTGTGTGTGTGTGTGTGTGTGTGTGAGAGAGAGAGAGAGAGAGAGAGAGAGAGAGAGAGAGAGAGAGAGAGAGAGGACGATGGAATAGGATGAGGCATAATTGGATTGGAAGAGATCTGGTTCGGTAGTACATGATGGATGAAGGAGACAGCATGAGCAGACAGATGGGCATATGGAGGTGATGGATGCTGGTAAGATTGGTGCTGGAGTAGATAGTTGATGGGGGCTATACGAGCTGATGAAGTAGATGTATAAATGGACGATGCATGGAGATACGGGGGGTGCGGATAAAGATGTGAAGAGAAGGGTCTCATGGACTTTGCTTGAAGGTCGAAAGCAGTGGAAGTGTGGGAGGGGCCCATGGAAGAGGGAAGGATTCTATCTCAGTTGCATTCACCCCATGACTGTTGGGAGGTTGAGACAACTGGGGGGGAGAGGAGTTGGGTGGTTGTGTGTGGCGCAGAGAGAAGAGGGACTTGTTTGGGGGTAAAAGGGGGATGAAAAGAGAGCACCAGAGCAAGCATTACAGTGTGTATATGGCAGTCAAGCGGATGCGAAGGGAAAAGTGGCTTAGAAGTGCCGGAAAGAGGGGCCCTTTTTGGGGAAGCAGGACTCGGGGGAAATGCTGGGCGCTAGCGGGAGAAAGAACGGGACAGAGGTAAGCCATGAGCAGAGGGGGGGGAGAAGAGGGGGGGGGGGGGGGGGGGGGGGGGGGGGGAGAGGAGAAATTGTTTGTACTTGAGACGCGACTAAAAGGCCTTTCTGTAGTATTGCGGTCGATAGGATGGGATAAGGTGGAGCAGATCTGACGTGACGAGGTGGATGAATGGCCAAGGCAACTGGTTGTGAGCTGTGATGGCGACGAGGGAAGGAGAGGGGTCATGTGGAATGAATTGCTTGCACTGCGGATGTGGCACTTCACGTGTTTGGGAACTATGATGAAGAGAGATCAGGGGAGAGAGATGGGGGGGGGATATGTGGATCGAAGTTGTGGGGTTGGTTTTGTCTCTGGTTGTCTCGTAGTCGTGGAGGGAAGAAAGAGACTTTGTATGTCTTTTCACCACTCAATGCGTTCGAGAGGACTTTGCAAGAACACACTTGGCATGTCCTTCAGATTGTGAAACCCGAAAACATGCGCTTGAGTCCTTTCCTTCTCCACATTCTTGCTTAACTTCAGCGAGCGTGCTGTTGCCACTTTCTGCCACAAGATAGTTTTCATGTCTTCTCGCCATGGTTAAGAGCCTTGGGCAGTACTCAAATTCTAGTGTTCATGGCTTTTCGCCATGGTTAAGAGCCTTGGGCGGTACTCAAATTCTAGTGTTCATGTCTTCTCGCCATGGTTAAGAGCCTTGGACAGTACTCAAATTCTAGTGTTCATGTCTTCTTGCCATGGTTAAGAGCCTTGGGCAGTACTCAAATTCTAGTGTTCATGTCTTCTCGCCATGAGTAAGAGCCTTGGGCAGTACTCAAATTCTACATTGAGAGTGGTTATGGTTATGGTTGTGGATGGGAGAAGTATGTGGTTGTTCGTCTTTGAATTGATGTGCCGTTGATCTGTGCATCTTCACGCAAGTGCTCTGCAGGCTGTGGAACCGTTCTGATCAGCTCCTGGTCAGATGAGGCTCTTTTTTCGTTCACAAATTCTTTTTCTTTTCTTTTCTTTTCTTGTCAGAATAATTTCTTTGCAACGGAAGTACTGCCGGTTTGTCCTTGGAGCTACGGAAATGGTGATAACATCCCTTCTGATCTTGTCGTGCCCGTTGCTTGGCAGGTGATCGACAAAGTGCAAGAAGAGACCGTCAGGAAATCAGGTGGGTTTGACTCTCACAAGTCGCAGCCCATGAGGCTGGATGTGTACCACATGGTACACAGATGTAGCTGTCTGTAAACAGATCACGAGTTCAAATCCAGATGCAATCAGATGGGTACAGTAATATTAAGGGCTATGCCCTTTAAAGCACCACTACCTTTCCGGCTGTTGGGAAACCGGGAAAATATTCTAGTCCTAAAAAATTGGAGGCCGCGCCCGCCGACAGCCGCTGTTGATATATCTCATCAGCAGCCGTCGTTTCGTTTCGGCCTCCTAAAGATTCAGGCGCCCGACGTTGGCCCACGTGGGAAATGGTAGTGGTGGTTTGTTAAGCAGAAAAACGCAGCTGGAGATAACACATCGATCACAACGGAAGAAGGATGGCGTGGGTCAATCGCCGCTACCTTCATGTTTGGTTCTATGTTCATTCTTGTTTTCTACGCTCAAGACTTAATTTTTATATTGAGGATTTATTTCAATGGTCAAGATTGTTGCAATATTGGTATTTGTTTCGGTTATTGTGTACGTAACAGTTTGTCAAACAGCTGTGCCATTTCCAAGTGTGCTGCAAAATCGCGTTGGCCCTCCTGGTGGGGCTGAGCTTGATGGCCGTGCAATAAAGGAACCCCCTAGACTGTCTCCAACCCTCACAACCTTTTTTTTTTGGGGGGGGGGGGGGG